ATAGAATAGAATAGAATAGAATAGAATAGAATAGAATAGAATAGAATTCTTTATTGGCCAAGTGTGATTGGACACACAAAGAAAAGATACATCCATCAAGAGTCGAGAATCATAAGGTACAACACTTAATGATAGTCATAGAGTACAATAAGCAATCAAATCATACTAGGAAACAGTCAATATAGATCGTAAGGATACAAGTGACAAAGTTACAGTCATACAGTCACAAGTGGGAGGGGATGGGTGATAAGGAGTGATGACAAGATTAACAGTAATAGTAGTGCAGACTTTGTAAATAGTTGAACAGTGTTGAGGGAATTATTTGTTTAGCAGAGTGATGGCTTTCAGGAAAAAACTGTTCTTGTGTCTAGTTGTTCTGGTGTGCAGTTGCTCTATATAACTTCATTTTGAGGGAAGGAGTTGAAACAGTTTATGTCCGGGATGTGAGGGGTCTGTAAATATTTTCACAGCCCTCTTTTTGACTCATGCAGTATACAGTATAATAGCAATTGATTAAAACCAACTGCCAATGAAACAAGGCACCTCATGTGCGGGTCTGCACAAACCATTGTTTCACATACTAGCTACTATTCTGTCACACATTTACTCACTTTCACACGGAGATTGTAAACTCGAGGTCACCTTTGCATTCCTTCTGCCATAAGTCCCATGGTGTTCTGAGGTACTCAGTCCCACATAATTAAGTTTCTGATTTTTGGACCTGTTTAGAGTACTAGCCCTTTTCTGTTTTTCCCCCCTCCTCTTTATACAGGTCGTCCTCTATTTATGGCCACGATTGAGCCCAAAATTTCAGTTGCTAAGGCAAGACAATTGTGTTCTGACCCAAAACCTGGTTCCAAGAAAACAAACACAAGACAAAGGCAGCAGTATAATCATTTTATGTTTCAGTTAAGAATCCTCTTTCTTCACAGATAAAAGACTGCTTCCAACTAATTCGCTCCAACAAGAAAGAGCCTTGCCAAGTTTTTTCAAGTCTGCCAAAAAACAAAAGATAATAAATAGTTTACAAGAGTCTTCAAATACCAACTGTAATGTCCACGAGGCTGAGTTCAAAATGCCTTTGTCTTCTGCAAAGTATGTTCTTTCACAGCTGGCTTTTATCTTCTTGAAGGAGGGGCCATTACCTTGCAGCCTTACTCCCGAATTGCCCGTGCTGCAGCAGCTGCTCTTTCCTGTGAGCAGCCCTGCACACACGTGCACTTGGCACAGGCTCCTCGGGAACCTCCTCATCGCTGCTGCCAGCCCCCACAATCTCTGAAGGCAGCAGTCCAATCTCTAATGGTCCTGGCCCCTCATCTGAATCCTCGTTCTCCTCAGCCATCCGCACCTGCTGCCAGCTAACCACAACAAGTTGTTAAGTGAGTTTTGCCCCATTTAATGGCCTTTCTTGTGACAGTTGTTAAATGAAACACTACAGTTGTTAAGTTAGTAACACGATTATTAAGTGAATCTGGCCTGCTCACTGATTTTGCCCATCAGAAGGTCGTCAAAGATGATCACATGACCTTGGGACACTGCAACCATCATAAATACATGCCACTTGCCAAGTATCTGAATTATGATCATGTGGCCAAGGGGATGCCGAAATGGCTGTAAGTGTGAAAAACAGTTTTGTCAGTTTTTTTCAGTGCAGTTGTAATTTCAAAGTCACTAAATGAATAGTTATAAGTTCAGGACTACCTGTATAGTGATTGAGGACTGCAATACCCAGTCTCCAGGGGTGAAATTCAACAATTTTTCCTACCAGCTCTGTGGGCGTGGCTTGGTAGGCATGGGACTCAATCTCTAAAAGGAAGAAAGTGGGCAGGTGTGGGTGGAGCCAACCAATTGGAATCGTCCCTACCACCTCTCCTGAGATGGTACGAGGTGGTTAAATTTTACCCCTACCAGTCTCCCTGTCCATGGAAACTCCAGTGATTAAGGTTCTGAATTTTCTTGAATCCTCACTGGGATGGACAACCATGTGGCCAGAGAAGGCTTTTATTCTCCCCATGAGAGAGATACATAGCTTCATGAGCAAGAAGGTAGACCTAAAGACATTGGGGGTGTCCCCTTGAAGCAGAGGCACTAATTTCTTCTCCATTTCTCTTCCCGTTCTTCCATTGGCTTGTCTTTCCATTTCCTACCTTGCTTTCTTTGCTTTCAGTAGCATCTTCCGTTTTCCCCGTGCTCTCAATGAATATATTTCAGCCTACATGCATTTCAACTGTGCTACACAGAATGTCAATTTCAGCAAAATTGGCATAGAATAGAATAGAATAGAATAGAATAGAATAGAATAGAATAGAAT